CACACACACACACACACACACACACACACACACACACACACACACACACACACACACACGCATATACCTCCCCCTTTGGCCACAAGAAGTGCTTCCAGACACAAATCAGAACATGGGAAGTGATTTAGTGTCTCCTCCATAACTCACAAGCATGTCCAGGTCCTGTCCAGCGTGTCATCCAAGTCACTGACATATTGATCTACTTCTCTGCCTCTGTGTTGTTTCTACACAGGCCTGCATGCTGCTTTCAGAACCTGCACCATGTCCATGAAGATCAACCGCACAGAAAATTAGGAAATGATGGAGTTTCTTAAAACAAATGTAAAAGTGTTTAAATTACGAATGAAAAAAAAATCAGAATTTAGGTAAATTTTGTATTATGATTTTAAATGCATGTGAATGTTTTTAATGTTACTTTTATGTTGTTGATGTAAAACCTATATAGCCACATGTAGTGTGTACGGTACTTAAAGGTCTATCAAAGAGCATGAAAATGATAAAAAATGGATAATAAATTGAATTCTTTTCACTTCTATAAATGCAGATGGTGACTGTTACCCATTTAGTCGTGAGCAAAACTACATGCTCTGTGGTAAAAACAAAAACAAAAAAAAAAAAAAAACAGCCACCTTCTGTCTCTTACTCTCGTGCTCCATCAGTCTCTGCTTCTGTCTCCCAGAAGAAACACCTCCAATGTCATAACTCATTTGTCAGTTCGTCAATACAAATTAAACTGCGCCTGACGACTACCTGTATGGCAAATAACATAACCGCTGCTGGCAGCGTGACAACATCCACACCTTGAAAAACCAAAAAACCCCACACACACCTTTTAAAAGCTGTTCTACTCTGGGAGGCTGCCCAGGGGGCTCTGTGCCACTTTATGGTTATTGTGGAGGTCACTCCCCATGGCAGTGGACGGTTGCCACATGCGTTTTCTTGAATGTCCTCGTCTTTGACTTCTCCCCGCACAAATTCAGCGCCTCATTTCCAGCTGCATCCAAGGAGAATATTTACCACATGCTGAGACAAGTTTCAGTTTATTCCAGCACCCATCCCCTGGGAAAAACAAAACACCGGATGAGCTTCTATTTTGAAGAGTTGAAGATCCAGCAAAGCAAAAGGCTTGACACCTTTGTTCATCTTTTTAGTTTGTTTTTTTTCGTTTTTCCCCCATCTCTCTTGATCAGTCACAAATGCTCTTCTTTAACAGGCTTCCTTTGACTGTCACTTAACGCTCAACATCGAGCCAAAAAAATATAAAAAAACACCAAAAAAGCAGAGGAACATGTAAACAAAAGCACAAACACCTTCTTAAATTCCAGACACGTTAAATGCAAGTCAGACTGTTTTTTTCTCAGTCCCGCATCATTTAAAAGTCAAATAAATACTCTTAAATATTTTCAACACATTAGAATGAAATGTGCACATTCCACCCAGCGAGACACCTGAGATGGAAGCCAGAAGCTGTGAGCCTGACACAGAGTTGAAATAAATCAAACTTTACGTCTTCAGCTGACAAATCCAAACGATCAAGCTGCACTGACAACAATCCAGGCCTTTGTCACATCAGGCATGTCGACACACACGCGCACCTAAAACGGTTAAAAAAAGGGGCTATCTTTATATTTAAAACACAGTCTATGTTGTTCTTAAATACATTTTTGTAAAAAAGGGTAAATATTGGTCGTAAAAAGTTTTTTTTTCTTCCTTTTTTTAATATAATCTCTGCCAATTGTAAAAAGTCCATTTCTAGTTGTTGCTGGTGGATAATTTACAACTTTAGGAAAACAATAAAACACGTGCTAATTGCTATGATTATCATAATGATAACTGCAGCATAGGCATATGGGTAAAAAGCCTTGTTGTGATGCGTGCTGTTGCAAAAGTCAATATGAAACACCTTGTAATGACAGGTAAAGAACATAAACCGCCCCAAGCTGTTTTTACTACATTCAAGCATGTGTCAATCACTTTCGTCTTTTTCTTTTCTTTTCTTTTCTTTTTTTTTTTTTGAGATGGAAAGGGAAACAGAAATTACCGGTGTGATTTGCGGGGTGGCTGTCGCACTGAAATGTCAACTCCGGGGTAGTCTCACAGGACTGCTCTCCGCGGTGGAATATCAATAACATGGCTGCACGTGCGCTTTCCAGTAAAGTGTGATAAGATGTGAGCGCCTTTTCTTTTCAAAGTGACGGCGGTTTGGTTATTATTAGAGCTGTTTTCAGGTCTGATCAGTTGGATGTCAAAAGTGAAACTATTCCACGAGGTCAGCTGTGAAGTGTTTTAACGGAAATGATGAGAAAAGGATGAAAAAAGTAAAAGTTGCACAGGATATGTGACAACACGAGTAAAAAAGAAGTCAAAATAAAATTAACTGAATCACTTCCTACGCCTGCTGTTTATCAAGGCTGCGCACGAGGTTCCAAATGAACAGTCAGCTTCTTGGTAAGATATGAAAAGGAAAAGGAAGAGTGTAAGAAAATTTATTTTTCTTTTTTTTTAAAGTAAATATTATCAAGTGACACTGAGCAAGGGAGCTAAAACACTGAGGTGCACATTATGACAAAGACAGGAGGCCAAATGCGTGATCCGAGGGGATCATCACGACCACATGCCACAAAGGGACAACAGAAAAAGTGAGCTGGGAAACACTTCCTGAAAGCCCAGCTGAACTTTTATCTGCTTGTTGTTGACACATTTAAACGCTGAGGAAGTTATTGAACATTCGCAACCCCTGTCCTTTTTTTTTTTTTAATCACATCGAGCAATTTCTCACAGCACCAAACCTGTCGAGTGAAATCCCTTGGTGTTTCACGTCTTCCCAGGGAAACTGCAACGAAACATCAAGTCTGAACCAATGTGACCCTTGACCCCTCCCGCTTGTTTTCAGTCTCATCTGTGCACACTGCGTTATTCACCAGCTGAAGCTCTCAACCAACAAAAACACAGAACTACTACTGAGCTAAAACAATGATTTGCTTGACACAAATGATCTCAGAATTAAAACATTTTCTTTAAAGTTAAAGTTATCAAAAATTTAGGTAAATAAGGAGTGCTAAATAAAAATACTTCTGATAATTTTTTTGGTTAGTTTAAAACTATTTTTTGTATTGAGTATTTGAGCGTGGAGCTGTTTTATTTTCAGTGAGCATAACCAGAAATATGATAATCGTATACAAAAGTCTAAAAGAATTCAAAAGCTTACAAGCTCTCCCGTACCTTAGATAAAAATAAAATTAAGAACACTGTGTACAACTTCACCTGCATCCATAACTTTAAACATCAAAAATGTGCACACTGAATTAGCCAATGGTTCAGTGGATGATGAGGATGATGACGATAAAAATGTAACTTAAACCTAAAAGTAGCAAAAAATAAAAAAATAAAATGTCTCATGTTCATATATACAGTTAATATTTGATCAACTTCATTAAAATGATCTCTTCTTTCACGAGTAATATTTTATTAAGGCTAATGGACCTCTGATTTATTTGAAATTAGTGTCACTGGCATTTTCTCGCCTGTGGCAGATATTTTTTCTTTTTTTGTTTACAAGATTGACGACTTGAAGCTAAACTGAGTGGTCGAAGAGAACATTTTTTTGCGGTGAGAAAAAGCCTTTGGGATGTTATCTTTGGGAGCTTACACTGTGGGCTATGACTTATCTTAAATTATTATGTTATTTTGCTCCCCCTCCGTGTAACCTAAGCATCAGATTCAATCTAAAAAAAAAGAGCCCCCCCTCCCCTCCCTTTCAAAACAGGGCTCAGTCTTTTTTTCCCTTCATCTTTGCTGTCTGAGGCACTCAAATGAGAAACTGTCAGGAGCTGTGATTTGTGCTAACTAGCTATCGATCGCTTCAGAGCTGCATGCCTTGAGTCCACGCAGGGAGGGCTGAGGGAGGAAGAGGAGAGGAGGAGGAGAAAGAGGAGAAATCAGGACTAACTATAATGCATTTAAAAGCTAGTGGAGTTTTCTTTTTTTTTAATTTATAATGTAAAATGTTCAGTCAGCCCCAGAGAAAGTAAAATACAGCAGAGCAAAAGTGGGCTGACTTCTGATTATGGCTGTTTTTTATAACTAAAAATTACAATAAATATCAAACCATGGATTTTGAAACATCAAGGTTTTAAACTGGTTTGAAAAAAAAAAAACGTTTGCATTGATCCTTTATGAATGAACAGCAGCACAGTGTAATAAGTGGCTCTTTGGGTGTAGTGTTAGAACCCGACACCCTCTCTCTGCACGTCTCACACCAACAACGTGCCCGAACGCGATGCGCGCTCCCGACACCGATCAGAACAAAGAAGCGCAGGAGGAGCGAGACGCACAAACCATCTAAACATCCACACACTCTTAACATTAGAAAATGTGCCAAATTATAGTGTTAGAATGCGGGAAAATTCACAAAAAGTAAATAAAAAGTAATTATTATTATTATTATTAATATATGTGCTGCCATAAACATGTTGCAAATTACATAAAACTGTCAAGTCACTTGCATTTAAAACATACAGTAATTATTTGCTCCTGTGCTGTTCCATTTTTTTCAATTTCAGACACAATAAAAAAAATCTTAGGAGGCATTTGAAAATATCTGACTCCAGCTGAGTTGCTTAGATATCAAACAATAATTAAAAAGAATGAAAACAAACCTCCTGAAGCACTGGATGATTTAGATGAATTATTTTGTCCCGTTTACTGATTCTAAAACTGCATGGCAGTAATTTCAACACAATCAGTAATCCCTGATATCCTGTCCTGGAGATTTAAAAATCAATCCACTTTGACCGGCTCGGTATTATCCCATGATAATGACAAAAACAAACACGTAATAAGAAGGCGAGGGGGACCCCCGCTGCGCAGACGCATCTTCTCACAAAGCTATTAATCTTCTCAATGTAGTTGTTCACCCTGAAAACTGAGATAAAGAGCCACAGGAAATGTTTACTTTTCTTCTGCTGTTTTTTTTTTCCTTTGCCTGCAAACTAAAATAATGCTTTAAAAAAATAAAAGCAATGTTTAATCATTGAAATTGCTCTTTCTGGTTCCTTCTGTTTTCTTTGAAATTTACAAATAAAAAAAATCCACAGATTATTTCTTTATAAAATTTTAAATTATGCATATATTATTTTTAGTAGTTTCATATATAAAAATAGAAATTACAGTGAAACAAACTGAAGAGCCCTGGACACATTATGGACAAATGGCTCTATTTTACCACCTCCACATGTGCATTTTATATTTTATTGTGAACACACTTAAACTGCAATTCAGATTAAAAAAATACAATTTTTGTAAATTTAAGTGTACTGTATTTAGGAGAAAAAACTGATCAGTTACTAGAAATGTATTTGCAAGAGAGAATTAGACTAAATAAAATTAAAAAGAGGGAAATTTTATTTACCTTCTTTATTGTTGTTTTGGCTTTTATTTTTTTCCCAGGGTCCCATGGCCTTGTCATCCTCTGACCCATCCATCATGGCCTTGTCACCAGGCACGTACCAGGTGGCATGCTGCTCTGCCATGAGGGCGTCAAGGTCAATAGTGCCCATTGAGCCCTTCCCAGCATCCGGGCTGCAGCTTGCCAGCTCATTGTCTCCGTTCTGTGAGGGACAGTCGCCGCTCTTTTTGCCATTCTTCATGGCCAGAGGCTGGTCTTCTGAGATACTGAACTGCTGCCGCTGTAGCTGGATCTGGGCCTGAAGGATCTCCAGAGGATGAATTTCTTCCTGGCCAGAGGTGCTGGATGGAGTGCGTACCTGCTCCACCCCAGGAGTGCCCGGGTGGCTCACCCCACTGGCCCCGGTGCCCACACCAGCATTCAGTCCATAGCTGTCTGGTGTCGAGGTAGTATGATTGTTAATGCCCATGCCCATGGGCTTTTGTCCATTCATTAAACTATGATCACTCCTCTGCATTTTAGGTGAACCTGTGATCATGGGGCTGCGATTGGGCTTGGTGGCAGAGGCTCCTCCTGCATCCGAGCTGGATGACACTTCGTCCTCGTTGCCGTAGTGGGTGCTGACATCGTCAGGAAAGTCCACTCTTGGTGAGCTGCTGTCAGACTTGGCAGCGACACTCTGAATGCCACTGTCTAAAGAAGACATCAGGTCAGCCTGGTCCCCCAACATTAGGTCGCCTCCTTTTCCCCATGAAGGTGACTGGAGGTGCTTCTCATGGGGCGTGCCCCCACCCCTCTCCCCAACGCCAGCCGAGGGGGTCTGCTGGCCTGGACTTACAACAGGGTTCCCATTGTCAGAGGAAAAAAAAATCCCAGGGCTTACATGTCCACTGTCTCTTTTCCTCCTCCCTCTCCCTCTCCCACTCCCTGTTGCTGCCTTCCCCTCACTGCACGGGGTAGCGTCCATGTTGTAGTTTGGGGAGAGGGCACTGGCTTCCCCCTGCACCGTCTGGCTTTGACTTACAGGCTTAGAGTTGCTATTCCCGGTGCCAGGCATCTGGCTGTTCTGGGAAGTGCTGCTCTGAAAATACTCAGGACCAGCACTGCCAGTCCCATTAGATGTGCTGCTATTAATGTCCTGCTCTGTCTGACTTAGTTTTCGCTTGCCCTCATTTTGGTTCTTCTTGTTGAACGTTACATTAAGATTTGGGGCCCCTAGGCTTGCAATCATGTTCTGGCAGGCAGTGGACAGGGCTGCTAGACAGCTCTGGCCGAAAACACTGTCTTTAGAGCTGGTTTTGCTGAAGTTCCCAAGGGACAGAGCTCCGAGTTTACTAACAGATGACCGCTGGCCTGAGGGAAACTCAGACTGAGGAGGGTAGCTCCCTGGTGAGGTGCTCACCCCCTGGGATGCGTTGTGTGCCGGCCCCTGGCGGTTAGCCCCCCCATATGGAAAAGTTGGCTGTGCTCCCATCGGAGGTGCAGGAAAGTCAGCCTGCCGCCTTTCGACTGGTGCGTTCGGATGTCCCGCTCCTGCTCCTGGAGACTGCATTTGTGACAGGTTGCCCATGTTGCCACTAAACTGTGAGTGCATGCCAGGAGAGTGAAGGGTCTGCACATGTCCATCTCCTGCTATTCTCATGGGGTCCTGCATGCCCATGCCTTGCCGAAACATCATCCCGGGCCCATTCTGCTGCAGCCCTATATCATTAGGCCCAGGCTCGTTACCTGCTCCACCCAAACGCCGTGACATCATCTCTCCAGGTGGGTGGGACCCCTGAAACCAGGAGCTCTCCTGAGTTACGTGAGGATTTTGTCCATCCATGTTGGGCATCCTGCCACCGTTTTCCCTGTCGAAGTTTGGCTGAGGCATGTTTCCAACTGGACCTCCATGAGTCATTGGGCCAGGAGGTACATCACCATGGTGACCCAACTGCTGGAGACTGGGCTGTCTCATCCTCTGCTGCTGGTTGCGAGAGGCCATCTGTTTGATCATCATGGCTGCGTTCTGGCGCTGCTGCAGAGACTGTGGCTCAGGCCCTGGATGCTGCAGGGGACCTGGTGCAAAACCTTCATTCACAGGTGGGGTGAACTCTCCAGGGAGGCCAGGGTACGCCGAGGGAGAAAGGTGGTTATCCATACTGCCACACCAGCCTTCACCGCTGTGTGTGTTAGGGAAATCAAACCTGGGCCTTTTCGCCATGTTTATGTAAGGAGAGTCAAAGTGTTGCAGTCTCTGATTCGGGGGCTGTTGGGAGGGAGGAGGAGCCGGCTGTTGCATATTAAACATGGGGTCCCCATAGGGGTGCAAACCCCTATTTTCCAGTCTGTGAATGGGATATTCAAACTGGTTGTGTTGGCCAGGCATCATGACCCCTCCATCTAGAATGTTAGGGTTTGTGTTGCTGGGCTCAGCCTGAGGGGGTCGGGGAAGGCCAGGGGGGCACGAGTTCTGTCTGGCTATCAAACCAGCCTGTTGTTGTTGCGGCATGAGGGTATGCCTTGTGTTGACCCCCGGCTCCATTCCCACGGGCACCTTCCGGCCATTTCCAAAGCGCTCGAAAAACACTCCATGTTGTGGCTGCTGGGGCTGCGGTGGTGGCTGGTGTCCCTTAGAAATGGCCTGCATGCCTGGTGTTCGTGGCATGCCGGGGTTCCCTGGGAAATTTCCACTGGGAACAGGCCTTCCTGGCCCAAAGTGTGGTATCTGGGATTCTGATTCTGATGGGGAGAATACAGGTACATCAAAATGTCCAGATGGAGGCTCACTTGGGAAGTTATACTCTAATCCCTCCACAGCTCCCTGGTTGGGCATCCGTCGAGGCTCCAAGCCATGAGACTCAGATGAGGTGGACGAGGAAGATGGAAGACCATGAAAGGATGCCGCTCTGTTAGGTGACTGGTCCAGGGGCAGACATGGCGCAGGGACAGCGTGGTTCCCACTGGGGGGACCGTGATGTTGAAAGTCTGGTATGTTACCTGGCCGCTGCTGCTGCTGTTGCTGTGGGAAGCCGTCTCCTGCTTGTCCCTCAGAAAGAGGGTCAAATCCTTCTCCAAAGCCCTGCTGAGGTGCGATGCCATTGTTGTAGCCCATTAGCCTGCCACCGTGCAGGCATGATGACCCTGGCTCCGGGCCTCCAAAGTTCCCACTGAAATGAGGGTGATGTTGGTGGGGGTGAGGTTGATGGCCGTGTTGATGAGGTTGCTGGTTGTTAAAAAATCCATGCATCGGTCCTTGCTGCTGCTGCTGAAGTCCACCGCCTCCATGCATCTCTGGGTGTCCCCGTGGGTGAAAGTTCCCATAAGGCTCCCCGTTCATGTTCATATTGAGCCCCAGCATTTGTGACTCGTTCATGGGGCCCATGCCGGGGTCCACAGCTCCAGGCGGGCCTCCAGCATGAAAGCCTGGGCTTTTATAATGGGAGCCCATGTTCAGTCTCTGTTGGTTTATGTTTCTCTCTGACTGGCCAGGGTTTCTGCTATTAATTTGAGAACCAAACTGCTCCAGCCCAAACATACTCCCCTGCAATCAATCCCACATGACGGCCAGTTTGCCAGACGTCGGCTCACTGTGTATTTTTCCGTCTGTCCCCAAAAGCAAATAATAATAATAAAAAAATGGATACACAACAAACTTCTTAAATGTTTGTCACAATGAACTAATTATTTCTTTGTTTCGTATATTTTAAACATAAAACTCATCAAATAATTTCTTATTTCTTGAAATAATTAGAGTTTTCTTAACTTCTCCAAGGACGCGCAGCGGAGAGGGGACAGACTGTGTCCAAATACGCACGCAGACTGTGTCTGTTTCCGCATGAATGCGTTAAACAGCTTTTCAATTTTTTGTTGGATTTTTTAATAAAAAAAAATTAAACACGCCTAGAAAAATAAACTTGCGTCTAATATTATTTACGACATTCTAAAGCTCTTTTTTATCCTGCGCGTAAAGGGGAAAAAAAGCTCGCTGAAGTGAAAGAAAAGCGCAAAAAATATTTAAACAATATTTTCTTATCTAATTTATTATTCCAGCTCGACATTAAAACGTCCCAGAAAGACTTTTTATATACGGTCCCATACTGGAAATGAAAAGAAAGTCAATTTTGGAGCCGTGCAAGGATCAAACTGCCTCTTTGGGTTGAATAAAAAAGCTACTGCCCACCGGTGTCCTTTAAAATCTTGAATAGAGGCAGCTGAGCAGACTTCAACACAAAAAGTCCAGCGCGATGGATTAGTCCAAACAACAAAACCACGAGACCTTGCAATTCCAGGCACCGGTGAACCGAGACTTCAGTGTCTGAGGAGAAGCGCGGCGGTGCGCACCGACTACCCGCACTCCACAAGCGCCGAGCGGCTTGACAGCATCCTTCCCTCACCTCGCTGCCGCTCCGTGCTTCTCCTCTTCTTTCTTTTTTTTAAAACTTGTCTTTTCTTTTTTTGTGCACTCCGCTTCTAACGTGTGTGCGTCCTCCTCTTGTTCACCGCCTCTTGTCTGCTGCTGGTCTGAGCGCGCTCGGGCTGCGACGCACAGAGACACCCTCTCCACGCTCTGTTCTGCCGCTTGGCGCTGTACGCGTCCGGAGGAGCCAGCAACAAGTTTTGCATTTCTGCAGCCACTTCCATCCAAGAGGCCTCAGCCAATCACGGAGTCCCGTGAAAGCTGGAAGGGGCGGGACGAGCGCCGTTAAGGTGGTCCGCGGAGTCAACGAGATTATAAACTCCGGTGTGGAAAGGAGATGTTTTTTTAATCTCTAAAATTTCACTTGAAAAGTCGCGCTCAAAGCACATTTGAACTGGTTGCAGCCTAGTTTTTGAGATAAAAAAAAAAGATCTATTAATAAAGGGGATTTTCTTTTTTTCTTAGCAGTGGTCCCCATTGGGATCGGGGGTCCAGTGTGGGTCAAGGAACGTTAAATGTGAGGAGATCTACGCAAATCATATTAACTTAAAAAAATCATTGTCAATAGATTATCCTTAATTGATTCAAATAAAATCAGGGATCATAAATTGATTAAAATAATAATACATTGGCCGATGAAGCTTTTTGCTAAAGGAGCAACAATTTAATTTTGTTGAACCAAAGCTAAAATGTTTGGGAATCTCTGAGCTAGGACAAACTTTTTAAACACTTTAAACAAGCTTAACTGTAAGTGACTCATTCATTTCCTTTACTAAACTTGTTTTTCAACCCACTAAAAAGTTTGACAGGACAGACACACCAACAAGCAGATCAGCTGATCAGCCTGCAGATTGTTTGTTTAGGTATCTGCTTTTAAAAAAAGCTGTTTGACAGAAACTGAAGCCACAGGTTTGGATTTATAAATTCTTAGGATAAAAAGTCATAGTCTGACATCTAAATCAGAACCCCTAAAAGGAGCTTCAGCAAACAATGAAATGCTGCTCAGTCAGAAAATAAGAGCTGAAGAAGACAAAAAGAATCCCTCCAGTTTTCTCTGTGCGAAAATGTAAGTCCCAGTGGAGAGAAGAAAGAAGGAAAAATCCTCCTTAAAAGCCCACCAGAAGTAAATCATGAAGATGATATTGGGGTCTTCAGTTTCAATAATCAATAGTATTCTGTTACTGTTATGGTCTTTAAACTAAAACCTCACCATCAGAAGTTATTTCAAGGGTTAATTAGCTGTGGGCATGAAAGAGCAGAGGTTATCTGTGGAAGGTCAAGTGGTGCTGTATCCTAAAGATAAGACAGAAAATATATAAAAACAGTTCATGTGAGACAAACACTGCAAAAAAAATTCACCTAACCAAGTTTTAAAATCTTATTTCCAGCCAAAAAGTCTTTTTGATCTTGTTTTGAGACTGATTTACTAAACAAGAACTGATTGTGTAAGAATAATCATCTTGTTTTCAGAATGTATAAGATTATTTGTCTTGTTAGTCTGAAAATTTGACTCAAATTAAGTCAAAAATTTCTGCCAATGGAGTAAGAGGATTTTACTTGGTAAGATTCTTGAAATAAGTTATTTGATTCAATTTTTTCTTATTTCAAGAATCTTACCAAGTAAAATTGTCTTACTCCATTGGCAGAAATTTTTTTACTTAATTTGAGTCAAATTGTCAGACTAACAAGACAAATAATCTTACACATTCTGAAAACAAGATGATTATTCTTACATAATCAGTTTTTGTTTAGTAAATCAGTCTCAAAACAAGATCATAAAGACTTTTTGGCTGATATAAGGTTTTAAAACTTGGTTAGATGGACATTTTTTACAGTGCAATGAAATCAAACAAAGACTTTTATTCTGGCTTGTTTCTACATTCTTCATGTAGGTTGGTGTTAAATTTATACCTGAACTCTTAACTTTGTTTTTTCTATCAAATTATTTTCATTTATTCATTTGTTTTTGGACTGTTTAAAAACATAAACTATTCTCCTAATTGAGTATTTTATTGTAAATACAGTAGCTTCTTTTGCTTTGAATTCATGAGTGCATTTATGTCCTGAACTTTATCATCAGAAATAAATGAAAGTCTATTTCAGTCTAATTCTGAAGGGAAAAAAATATATATAAATTTCTTTTATTGATCTTTTTAAATATTTGTGTTGATGAAAGGAGAAAACATGCCATCTTTTCTCGACTCTGTGAAGAACAGGAGGAGGATTTGGTGACAACCAGTACTGCGCCCCTCCTGGGGGTGGGGGGTGGGGGGTGGAGTTAGAAAAGCTTTTATCAAACAGACACAGTGCCACCTAGCGGTCGTCTCCATAGAGAGTACAGAAAAGATGCCCCTGCTGAAGCTTTGAGAAAGCACATAAGAGGTCTAGATCCACACAAAAAATGAAGATAAAATGTTTTGTTTTTCCAATAAAATGAAATCCTATAAAGTTGCAGTGCGAAAAATGTGAACATTTTAATGCAACATGATCACATGTCAGTGTGTAACTTTTGAGAAATTAAGCTTAGCTTTTCTGTCTCAGATTTAGAAACATAATTTCAAAATCTTTTTTTAGCATCACATCATGGACGATTTGGAGCACATGCGCTCCCCCCCCCCCCCTTTTTTTTTATAGCAGCATGTCCTCATGAAAACAAGTTTGTGTGTGGCACAAACTGCTGTTTTTCCCAGAAGCACACCATGTGTCCAGCCCAGCATCCAGAGACTGTTTCCCATCAGGACAAGACACCGAAATGCACTTCTTCCACCTCAGAGGACAGCAGCTCTGCCAGTGAGGAGGACAGCAGAGCTGCTGGTGTTTTGTAAGAAATGGAGTAAACTAGCTGCAGGTAGAGAGGAGAAAAAATGTCAAGTTGTTTCAGGATGTGCTAAGGGCTGCTGTGCTTGTGCTCTAAAACAGAGCCACACTCTCCGTGTATCTGTCTGATGGACCACATCTGTATTTGGAAGCCATCTATATTTTTTTACTTGGTATTAAAATAGATGCATATGCTGTCCTTTATCCTTCTCAACTAATAAAGGCCATCTACATAAAAAAAAAAAGCCCTACAGTAAAAGCAGCTCAACTGGATGAAAAAGAAGTCCTCTGCTTGACTGTAATTCTACTAATCCTGCAGTGAGATTCCTGCTGGCTGCCTTCTTCTCCAATACAGAAACAGTATGACAAACCCACAGTATGGTGTCTTCCCTCCAAAGTCTCCAGTGATGAAAAATGCAGCTCAGAGTGGCTGTGGCTGAGGCGACATCATGACAATGGACAGTCTGTGAGCTTTCGAGCGCTGTCACATTACCACTCTTCTCTGTTGTGATTTAGTGCTCAATTTGTCTCAATATTTTACTCAACAGGACAAGGTAGCAGAAGTGGGCGCCCTCTTTTACCCTTAATTCACGTCGTTAGGCTTTTCCTCAGCTAGACATATATTACAGTGGGGGGTTGCCCAAAGAGACAGTTCCTTCCCTTGTTTTGGGGGTGTGTGTGTGTGTGTGTG